GGAAGAGTGTGTAGAGTCCTCCCCCTGAGGAGGAAGGAGCGGCAGAGACAATGTGCCCCTGTCCAGCTGAGGAGGGGGAGTGACAGAGCGGCTTTGGTGGGCACGTGGTTTCCAGCCAGGGTCAAAGCACCACAGCCAACAAACAATCTCTTACTGTCAGGAGCTGAGAGACAACAATGCTGCCACGAGTGATGCCAAAAACCAATTGCCTCTCATACCAAAATCTTCACAATGTCTGATGGCCACAAATCATATACTGTATGTCTTACAGACATAAAGGAAGAGGGAGAACTAGCACCATTTCACAGTCAGAAAGTAACTTTTCTCAAGGGTCTTATTCCAAAGCAGTATGAGGTCATGAGATGGACTTGGGTGGCAGCCATGATCTGGCACCTTCAGCCACCCTGTGACTCCACATTAACCACATCTGCTGTTATGAAGGACAGCTGTAACTAGTTAGAGCTCTGGGAAGAACGTGTGGATTAACAGGTTTTCTGAGGGTTTTTTTTAGTAGAGAGACAGCTCTTCTCCTAAGCTGCTACGAAGGGTATTGCAATGACATCTTGTTTTGGCCCACAGTTGGGGATTTTTTTTTTTTTATGCTTACCCTGGTTAGCATTATCTCTGCCATTTTTTTGCTTAAAATCAGGCTGTTGTTACACTACACATTAAACTGCACTTCCAGTTAGTTTAGAAACTTGAGTATCACATGCTTCGAGGTTATTTTTTATCTCATGGCTTTTGCAATATACTGCATACTTGTCAGTGGGGTTTCTGACTGTCTCCCTTTGAATGTCATTATTTTAAATAACTGAGAGATGATCTAAAGTGACAGATGCAGGGCCACCAAGCATTACCAGTTCGGTAGCACTGTCCTTTGACCCAGCTGAAATTCTAGTAGTAGTATACTGTTCTAGTAGCAGTCTTGTTTCTGGTGAGACCCGTAGCAAGACAATCCCCTTTTGTACAAAAGTAAATTGAAGAATAGAAGTATGACCTCTTTCTTTCCTATTATTGATTCTAATTATAGCAGAGAGGGTGTGAACAAAAATTGGACTTGAACAGGAAGAGTAATCAGAATGAAGCGATGGTCACAAGTCTTCATTTCATATTCCCAAGTTAATCCCAGGTTTCTGCCCTTTAATTCTCCCTGAAGCTCTACTGTCTCAAGCATGCTAACAAGGTATCCCTTTCAACTCCTGCAATCCCATCTGTCCCAAAGCCCTGAGACACTCAGTTTCTCATTCTCACTTTATCACTTGCATCGTATGAAGCAGGTACTACCCACACAACTTCTGCCTGATGTTTTTTTTTAATCCAGTGCTGCCAGCTCTCAGAGCCATTCCATACTTCTTCTGACCCCTATTCCAGCCCATCTCAAAAATTGCATTGTGAATCTGTTTTTATCTTAGCAAGCTTGTAGTGTCCATTCTTTTCCCAATCATTGCCACGTTGTACAAAGTTTGTCTCCCTTATGTGGGGGATGCATGTGTGTTTGCACATGTGTAAGTTACACAACTGCTGCTTTATAATGCTATAATGACAAGTTATGTGTTGAGGTTTGTGCATCTGTGTGCACATCTACCATTCAGGATGAAGAACGCTTGTTTATGCAGTTTGCATTTCTTTTCATTTTAAGAGATTTGAAAATACAGAGATTGGTGCAGTTAATTCAGTTCAATGTCTACATGGAGTTTAATGAAATGTATCAGTGATGCTAGATAGACATCTTCAATACTATATACAGAAATAATGCATCACTTACCAAGATAAAAAGTTTGAGGAGGCTCTGAGTTTCAGGTGGTTCTGCATGTAGCTTACAACTTCTCACTGAAAAGTGTGACCATATACTGCTCAGTTGCGTTGTTCACTTTGCAGCGGCTTAGTTGCACACTGAATGAGGGAGAGTGTTCCTATGGAAAGCACTAGGACATTCTTGCATGGAAAAATGAATAGTGCAAAATAATACAAGAAGTAGCAGGAACATGTGAGAATAAATGTGTACAATTCCAGTATCTGCATAATTAAACATACTGGGGGCAGGAGGATGGGGAAAGGGTGTTCTTGCTGTGAATACAGTTGACATTTTTCTGTTAAGTTTTATTTTCTGCCAAGGTTTTATATACTGGAAGATACTTGAGGAAAAATAAATTGAGCATTGGATGTGCCAAAAAAACAGAAAAATGGGAAATTTTAAAGAATGTGAATGTCATATTGTATGTTTGTTGGCTACTGTCTATCAGTGTGAGTAGTGTTTGTGAAGTATTTTGCTATAAGGAAAAAATGTGGTTATTCCATACGGATTGGCATGTATATGCTTAAACCCTTTCTATAAATATTTGAATTAAAGGACACCAGATGTTGCACAGAAGCTGCTGCTGCTTTCTGAACTTCATGGTATATTCTTTCAAAACCCACAGGAAGTAGCTGAGGGAAAAAGTGTATTAATTAAGTTCAGAAATAGATTTTCCAGCTATAGAAAAATCTCCAAAGAAAATAGCGTTTGATCTTCAGAAATGTGAGCTTGCTGTCCCAGGAATCTGGTGGCAGCATGCAGCACTGTCACATGGGGATCAGAATTCAGATTTCGAGTTCTCAGAGCTGGGCTAGCCTGAAAGTAAGCCAGACTGTGGCCTTTGGAAATGGACCCATCTTTTGACCCGTCTCCTCTGGCCAGTGTTCATAGTTCTGTAGACAGTCTACAGGGAAAACATTTTCCAGTTTTTCTTGACCTGAAGAAATAACTTTGTAATAGCAGAGACTTGAAGAGAAAGGAAAGTACTAGAATTCCCAGATGCTCTGCACTTCAGATGTGAAATATGAGCAGACATACCCAGAATACATTTTGTAAGCTCTAGAACTACGGCAAAAGAAATATAAATGGGATTTGCTTTGCATTGCTTGAGGAACAAGATTTATGTTTTGCAAACCAATTAACTGTTTCTGTATTTAGAAGTACTGGCTCTGCTGCAGTTGCAGTGTTGTCTTCTGCTCTGTTTCCTTCAGACCAAAGACCTTCTCCTGCACTAGTAGTTGGCATGAAGTGTCCATCTATCTTTATGCAGCAAATACATAACTGTTTATACTAAGTGGCATAATTCTCCTGGAAGAAAATGTACATACAAACAAGTAAGATTCCCCACTGAGCACTCATGTCAAGCAAATCAGAAACTTCAAACATGCATTGCTGATGTACTAGCTAGTGTTTGTCGTGGTTTGACCCCAGCCAGCAACTAAGCACCCAGCAGCTGCTCACTCAACTCACCCCCATAGGATGGGGATAGCATCAGAAGAGCAAAAGTGAGAAAAACTCATGGCTTGAGATAAACACAGTAGCTCAATAAGTGAAGCAAAGCTGTATGTGCAAGCAAAGGAGAAGGAATTTATTCACCACTTCCCATCAGCGGGCAGATGTTTAGCCACATCCTGGAAAGCAGGGCTTCATTTCACATAACGGTTACTTGGGAAGACAAATGCCGTAACTGCAAACATACCCCCCCTTCCTTTTCCTTTCCTTATGCTTTTATTGCTGAGCATGACTTCATATGGAATGGAATATCCTTTTGGTCAGTTTGGATCAGCTGTCCCAGGTGTCTTTCCTTCCCAACCTCTTGCCCACCCCCTGCTTGCTTGTTGGGAGGGCAGAGTGAGAAACGGAGAAGGCCTCGATGCTGGGCGAGCACTGCTCAGCAATAACTAAAACATTGATGTGTTACCAGCTCTAAAATATTTTAGTCACAAATCCAAAGCACAGCATCTTGGCTGCTATGAAGAAAGTTAACTCCATCCCAGGGCAGAGCCAGTACAATCTCCACCCCTTGTTCCCTACTATTTACATACTCGTGACTTGGGCTCCATCTGTTGCGGTGGTCACTCAGGACAGGAGAGGCAGCGTGTTGTGTTGAGTTGTTGGGCACCAAAACCAGCTCAGGTTGGGTCATGGGGCACTTGCCCGATTCTTTACAAGGCTCATCATCTATTCGTTCAGGTGGCTTCTGCTGTAGTACTTCCTGTAGTATACAGCTCAAATCACAGGTAGCAACAATTTAAACATATATCCATTACAGTACCACTAGGAGGAAGGGAGGAAGGTGTGTCTTTTCTCCTCTTTCCCAAAGAACTCCACTGCAGGCTTTAAGAAATCTTCCTGCTAAATTTGTGTTTTACAAGCCTGTTACACCCACTTTCCCTCCCTTAAAAAAAAAGAAGACAAAGTTGCCTTTGGAAAAGTGTCAGATACCTCTCATTTTGTTCTTCAAGCAGAGTGATGACAAGAACCTGAACATGAGGTAGCTTTTACAATGTATTGTACCTGTGACTTCTCATGTATAAAAGAGGAAGTCAGAAATGGAAGCAATTCGTACTTTTCCCCTTTTTCTGCAAATTAAAGCATGAAGATCATATTTGTTCTTCGAATCAGTATACAGAGTTCCAGTATTCTACCACATCAAATTCAAGGTTGTTTGTCCTTAAGTTCAGGTTAGACCTTGCCTCTCAACCACATTTAATGTATA